ATAATGTATCAAATCTTTGCGAAAAAAAAAATTTTTAAAAAAAATATAAAAAAAAAGGGTGCTTGATCATTAGATACGTATTATATTTTAATAAAATAATACGAAAATAATACGATTATGATATTACCTCTCAAATACCTCACGACTAGCTATTCTTTTCACATCACTATGTTCAATAACTTGTCTACAATTTCCGGAAAGACAATGAATAACTACATCACCTTTTCCAGATAAACTTGTATCTATGTGTCGTTCAACACACTCCCTGCATACGTTATTTTCATGTGTGCATTTTGCTGTTATAGCTAGAAATGATTTAAGTGGTTTTTTTTCTACACATATATTACATTCTCGATTTATATGATTACCCAACTGTGTTGACTACATATTATTTTTTAATGTGAATACAATAAAATCAAAAAATCAAAAAATCAAAAAATCAAAGAATTCATTATAATTACAATATTGTAATCATCTTTGTTGTTTTTAATATGACGTCTCGAAAAAATCTTCCACATAATAATTCACCTTGGGAATATAATTATTAAATGCAAAATTGTGTATTATTAATTAAAAACAAATCAAAAAAACAAAGGATAAAAAAAATTCTGCAATTTATTATTGTTTCTCAGCCTAAATTTTGTGCCAAAAAAAGTTTTTTTTGGTTACGTAACACGAGATATCGTCACCGTTCTACGTAGGGATGTTTGATGAATTTCATATATTACTGTTACACGGATCGTTGAATTTACCTTGCATTTACTAATTTTCTACCCACACTTTCTAATAAAATTAAAAGTTGCAATAAAATATTATATCTTGGAAATTGGCTGATCACATGAAATTTATAATTTAACTACAGTATACGTATAACTTATATATTATTAACCAATAAATCGACAAACTATTAATAACGACAATATTGTATAGACTTGTATATGGATAACACCAAGGAATATTTTTGCTGACAAAACAACTCTCGAAACTATACGTATCACAATCCCAAAGGATTTATCACATAGTCTAAACGTTCGAGAATTCGGGCATGTAGAATCTAATAATACGTACGTACAGTACGTACAGTACGTTTTAATTTTTTTTGTCAATTAATTCACTGATAAATACATACACCATGTGGAAATCAACTTGAAAAAACTAAATTTGTGTAGCATTAAGTTTTGAATTATTTCTATCAAAATTTGATGCTTAATTGAAAGTCAAATGCTTTATTTAATGATTTTTCGCCACTTCTAACCAGATCAATATATATCTGAACAGTTTTTTTAAGAAAATGAAATATCTAAAATAAAAGAAAGATCGAAGGGTCTATTTTGTAATCAATC